AGAGTGACTATAACAATGTGCTGGAGACTATTAGAGATTGTGAAGATAGCACCGAGAAGGGCAGGGTTCAGATCTGTTCATAAGATCACTATGAGATGTAGCTGACCCGCTGTCACCTGACAAGAAGGGTGCAAGCCATTCACCCCATTTAATCATCTGGATGATGCAATAATGCTCATTGTCTCTTTATTACCCATTTAGAGATAAGAAGACCAATGCACAGAAAAGCTGAGGTATTTACCGCAGCTCTGCCCAGGTAAGATGTGTCAGACACACCTGGTTCAGCCAACCCTGACTTCTGCATCACTTCATTGGCAACAGTCTGAGTGGGAAATTCCATTGCTTCAAAGGCAGGATGGGTGGGGAATTCCCAGCACAAAAGGATCTTTGTGTTACAATGTTGATTGGACAATTCAAGTTGAGTATTGATAATATATTCTTATGTATGTCTATAACATAGAGAGATCAGTTGGCCCAGCAGACAGAAAGCCATGCTCCCAAGCCAAAGGTGGGTGACTCTACTCCGCGGCCCTCAGGCCAGCCTTTAATTGTTTTTGGTGAAACATTCTTCTAGGTCGTGTAACCCTGGTATGTCCACTTGCCGTGCAGAGGTAACTGTGGTCGCTGTGAAGGTGAACACTGTGACACTGATGTGTCCAGTGCAAGAATGGTCACCCGTGGTGGACAATGTTTGGTGGAGCTCTCTGATTAAAACAAGTTTGGAAGCAGGAGTGGCATCCACTTCCATAATAGCTTGCCTCTGGAAATCCTATCAACCTGGAGAAAGGATGAAAGTTATACAGGTGTTCAGGACTTTTGTTCATAGGGTTGCTGTGAGTCGCCTACAACTCGACAGCACTTAACAACAACAACAAGTCTATATATTCCCTGATTATTATATATACAGACAGATCTCACTTTCTAAGTGAGACTTCAGGGGATTTTCCATCTTCTACTCATTGGAAAGTACTTAAGTAGGTAGATGGAGAAAAGACTGAAGTTATTAATGACTTCATTTTACTGGTATTCTCAGTTAACACCCATAATAACAATATTCCAAGAATCAAAAGATGTATTGGGGGGG